CCTTATTGTGGAGTTAAGCATTAGTTACAGTGTTGACCCCACCCTTAGCCCAGTGCCTTGACCCACTTACCTCCCAGCTCTACCCTCCACCAGGATAACCCTTCCCATCTGCCAAGTCCCTTCAGAAAATAACTTCCATTGTCCAACCCATGATCTGGAACTTGTTAGGAGTGCAAATTCCTAGCCCCACATACTCAGTCAGGAGAGACAGCTCACCAGTCTGTTGTATGTAACAAGCTCTCTCAGATTCTTCTGATGCTTTCTCAAGGTTGAGAGCTGTTGTTCTAGCACTTTGTATATATAATCTCACAGTAAATGCCCACAGTTTAATGTTCACAGTAAACTTAGGGGGTGGTACTATATATACCATTTTACAGTTGAAACAGCCAAGTGGTGAAAGGGAGAGCTGGACCTACGCATTCTAACTTCTAGAATAAAGGTGAATGATAGTGAATAGCTTACTTTTAAAAGTACCTCCCTCTCTATACTCTTCTCTCACTATTCATTGACCCTCATTTGTGTCTTCCTCTGCCAATGGGACATGGGTAGCTAGTCCCTTAATACCTGTCCCTTTCAAGGGAGACCTTGCTTCTTCCTGGACCATATGAAACATCTTAATCTTTGCTTCTCAATTCTGAAGGCTGTTGAGTTGCCAGCTTCTCTGAGGAATCCTCCAGCTTTCCCCAAGCTTCCTCCTATGGCATCAAGTTTGAGTCATATTAGACATATATATTCCCTCTTCTTTTCTCCCACACAAGGCTTTGCACTGTTCTGGCTGGTATTTATTCTCCTTGTGTTGTAAAGGCTGGTCTATATTGTCTACTCCATTAGATCAGTGCTTCTAGAGCGAAGGCATTTTGTGTGCTACTCATCTTTAGGGTCTCCACTTGGAAGATTGCTATTGCCTTTGAGCCAGAAGCAACTCATAGCTGAGCCTCCAGTGGGTTTTCAGTAGTAAATTGCCCAGGAGGAGATTGCCTATCCTGTTCTTGTGGAGCACCTGGTGGATTCGAACTGTGTGCCTTTGAGATTGTAATGCTGGGTCTTATCACTAGGCCACCAGAGCTCCCTATCTGGGAGATAGTGACCACTTAATTAATATTTGAAAAACAGGTAAGGGAATACATGCAATTCTTTTTAAAGTAAGGGTAAGATATTAAAATATGTATTTGGAGCCTTGATAGCTTTTTGGAGCTAAAATTGGAATAATTAAAGCAAGGAGCCCAAGTTAGGGGAGAGATAAAAAAGACATGGATGAGGGAGTATTTTAAAGATGGACTTATTAGAGGAGTAAAGAAGATATTAAGAGAAGAGATAGGTTTCTTGGAGAAGAAAGTGAGTAGAATTTTTTCTTTAATTTGGTTTGGTCTGCAGTTCTCAGGGTCAGCTAGAGATTCAAGTAATAGAAATTCTGGTTCAGAGAGCTCTGGGCTTCAGGTTTAGATTTTTAAAGTTATTTGTACATGATTGGGTAGATATGAGCCACTTTCCCTGGGAGAACAAATTGAAGAAAACAGAGATTTAACGAGTACCATCTTGACCAGATACTGTATTTAACATTCCATATTCACTCCTGAATGTAACCTGCCAAGACCTTGTCTTCCTATTTATTTCCCCAGCACTTAATCCAACAGCAGTAGCAGTTGTCCTGGAACATACACATGTACTTCGTTGTTCATATAGATGCATCAGCACAGAGTCCTTTTATATCATCTACCTGGCACACCCTATTTGCCCTTCAGAACAACCTCCATATATTCCTATAATATGCAGACTCACCAAGAAGTTGCCCTTTCCCAGCTAATCCATTTGTTACATTTTTGTCAGAATGGACTTTTAGAAATGTGTGAGTGTGAGGCCAGGCCAAAGAGGTCGATGGCCAGTGCTCTCTAGTAGAACATCCTCTTTGAAATACTCTATACTTCAGTAATTTTTGCAATCTTTTTGAAGACTGCAAGACATTCGTCTGGAAGTTCTAAAAGAGCTGCTGAAGAAGCGTGAGGAGAATCAAAAGGAGGTGAACATGAAGAACTTGAATGCCCGATGGTTTAAACTGCAGGAAGCAAAGGAGGCCAAAGTGGCAAAACTTCAACACGCACATATATCAGGTAATGGTGTAGTGTGAACAATGAAGAAAATTTAAAGTCGCCTTTGTTTTAGATCTTTGGCCAAACTGCATTTGCTTTGGTGGTGTAGTCTGTAGGGAGTTGAGCTGCTAACACTCTGATGGTTCAAATCCACAGCAGCTCCTTAGAAGAAAGAAGGACATCTTCCTTGTGATTTACAGCCTCAGGACTTCAGTGTCAGCTGTGAGTCAGTTTCCAATTAACAGCAATGAGGGATTTTGTTGTTGTTTTAAAATCACATAGTAGAAGTAGGAGATTTGTTCAAAGATAGTAGAGAAAAATTATTCTTTTTAAAAAAAATCAAGTGATATCCTAAAAATTAAGTTATTGATTAACATTTTTGTGGGTTTTAAAAATTTTATTTATGTATTTTCTTGTTGTGTACCGTCGAATGTGATCCAACTGGCACAAGAGGAAGTTGCCCAGCAGAGCATCTGATGGATTTGAACCTCAAGCCTTTGGTATTACGGTGTAGCGTCTTGCCACTAGGCCACCAGAGCTCCCCTTTCTGGTGTTTGGTTTTTTATTAAATCTTTATTATCTAAATATTTTTTATCAACTTAATTAACATTTACAGAGACTTTGGATTTCCATTCATTAATTGGACTATTACCTTTTTTAAAAAAATTTTGTTGGGAAAAACATGTTGCGGATACAAGGAGGTGAGGATTGGAAACAGAAGGTTGAGGATGGGCAGGGATGAAAATTGCAGCGATGCAGTTGCAGGGCTGCACAATTTGGTTGATGGGGGGAGCTTTGTTGTTGTTGTTGTTATGTGACGTTGAGTTGCTTGCAACTCATAGCGACCCTATGTACAACAGCCCTGAACTCTGCTCTGTCTTGAGCCAATCGCAATGTCTCCAATACACCCATCCCGATTACCCCACTCACTGAATCAATCCACCTCATAGAGGGTCTTCCCCTCTTGCGCTGTCCCTCCACCCTCTGAAGCATGATGTCCCTCTCCAAGGACTGGTCCCTCCGTACAACATGACCAAAGTATGTCAGACAAAGTCTCAGAATCCTTGCCTCCAAGGAGCAGCCTGGTTTAACCATCTCCAGGATGAATCTGTTTGTTTTCTTAGCAATTCATGGTACCCTCAATACTCTTCTCCAACACCAAAGCTCAAAAGCATCAGTTCTCCTTCTATCCTCCCTGGTCATTGTCCAGCTCTCTGATGCATAACAAGTGATTGCAAAGACCATGGCCTGTACCAGATGCACTTAGTCTCCAGAGACACACCGTTGCTCTTGGGTACTTTAGAGAGGTCCCTAACAGCAAAGTTTCCCATCACAATGCGTCCTTTAATTTCCTGGCTGGTGGTGCCAAGAGTGTTGATTGTGGCGCCAAACAGGCTAAAGCTGTGAACAATCTCAGTCTCTTCACCCTCCATCCTGATGCTGCCAATTGGTCCAGTGGTGAGAATCTTTGTCTTCTTGACATTGAGCCTCAATCCATATTGAAGGCTGCAGTCCCTGACCCTCAGCAGCAAGCACTTCAGGTCCTCCTCAGTTTCAGCAAGCAGGGTTGTGTCATCTGCATAACGCAGATTGTTGATAGGTCTTCCACCAATCCTGACGCTGCATTTCTCCTCATAGAGTCCAGCCTCCCAAATGATCTGTTCCGCATAAAGATTGAAAAGGTATGGAGACAGGACACATCCCTGGCGTATGCCCTTCCTGGTTTTGAACCATGCAGTGTTTCCTTGCTCTGTTCTGACGACTGCTTCTTGGTTCAAGTATAAGTTTCACATTAGCGTGATTAAGTGTTCTGGGATTCCCATTCTTCTCAGAATCAGCCACAATTTGTTATGGTCCACACAGTCAAACACCTTTGCATAATCAATGAAGCACAGATAGACATTCCTCTGGTACTTCCTGCTTTCAGTCAAGATCCATCTAACATTAGCTACAATATCCCTAGTACCATGACCCCTTCTAAACCCAGCCTGGACTTCTGGCAGTTCTCTGATGATGTGCTGTTCCAGTCATTTTTGTATCGAAAGGAATTGGCAGACACAGAAGAATTTAATGAAACAACATATGAGCAAGAGCCTATGGTGATGGAGGAAGAAGTTCAAGCTGCTTTGAAGAAAATAGCAAAAAATAAGGCCCCAGGAATAGATAGTATTCCAATTGACATATTTCAGCTAACCGATGCTGCCCTGATGTGCTCACCAAGTTGTGTTAAGAAATCTGGAGAACAACCACTTGGCCAACTGACTGGAAGAAATTTATATTTGTTCCCATTCCAAAGAAAGGTGACCCAACCGAGTGGGGAAACTATAGAACAATATCGTTGATTTCACATGCAAGCAAGGTTCTGCTGAAGATTATCCAAAAATGGCTGGAACAGTACATCAGCAGAGAACTGCCAGAAGTCCAGGCTGGTGGGGGGAGCAGGTGAAGGAAATGAAAAGGATCCAGTGGGGACCAGATGATAGAGGGCAATGGTAAGAATAGTCCAATGGTGATTAAACAAACTGTCTTATTCACTTGTGAGCTTCTCATTTGGGAATTGGGCACAGACTCTCTGGCTTCTTCATGGTGAACAGGGGCGTTGATGCGAATGGGGAAAGGGAGCACACTTTATCAACTTACTGGTGGCCTTGGGTTAAAGCTGCTTGCCTTCTTGTGCTGTTAGAAGGTATTTTCCTGACTTTTACTCCCCTCTGGACTGCAAGGTGTTTTCCCAGGTAGGTCCAGTGGGGATGGCTGACTGTAACCCTGAGGCTCCATCCTCCTTTGCTTCCTTAGCTGGCAGTTGTATTTCCTTTTTGTCTCTGGAACTGGGTTCTGGGTCAGGTCTGGAGTAAAATTCAGTGTTAAGGTTACCTATAGCAAAGGGAGCAAACCTAGAGAGAACAAACTTGTGAGTTACAAATAGAAGGGTTTGGGGGTGTTACTTATGGGTGTACTGGAGGATAGGGTGGAGGAAAGTAGCCTAGGTAAAATTCTCTGTAGAATATAGGCAGTTTTTTTCTACCTCGGGGTTGGATGGCACAACCTGAGGGCTGAGAAGTTCGCCCCAAGGGCAGAATGGCTTGCCCCGAAGGCCAAGAATGGCTCACCCTGCATCCCAAGAGCCAAACAGCTCTACCCCAGGGCCAAATAGCCTACCCCAAGGGCTGGACAGCACCCCCTGAGGGCCAGGCAACACACCCTAGGGGCTCGCTGGCACCCACCCCAAAGTCCCTCCCCCCAAGTCCAGACCCTGCACCTCAGTGAAGATCATGTGGCCAGGGACAGCATCCCCAGTTCCAGCACCACCACCTTTACCACCCCTCTCCAGTAAGTGTTCATACTGTAATTTGAAATAGGTGTCACTGCCCCCCCCCCTTTATAAATGGAGAAGTGAACCTGAGAATGGTGAACAGACACACACACACACACACACACACACACACACACACACACACACACCCTCAGGTCTAAACAGTTCTTGGCAGAGGCAATCAACAGATCAAAAGCTGTGGTGCATTTAGGATATCTGCCATCTTGGATGTGCTGCCAATGGTAAGTGTCATCAAGTTGCAGACAGCTCACAGTGACTCTCATCAATCCATTGTATTGGTGATCTTCCTCTCTGGCCTGTGAAGGAAACACCCCAACCTGCCACTGCATCTCCTGCTACTGCCATCTTGGCTCCAAGAATACTCCCCGGAACAAGTCCACTCTGTGTCAGTGTGGTGACTCTGATGCACCAGCGGAGGGGGGGAGGGGGCGCCTACCGTCCATCCCAGGTGAGGGGATCCCTGGGGTCTGTTGGTGGGAGCCTCATGGAGCTGCAGTGGCATGGGCTCGACAGGAGTGGTGGGACTCACCTATTCCTCGCTGGGAATTCTTGATCTCCTGATGTTGAGCCTCAGTCCACACGAAGACCAGTCAGCCTCAGTCCACACGAAGACCAGTCATCAGCTGTTTAACTGTTCAATTATCAATAAGCAGAGGTCTGTAGAAGGCCTTGGTGACCCTACTCCATGTGGTCCACTGCTCCTGCAGCTCGCCATGCTGTGTAAGCTGCCACTGCTGCCATCTTGGAATTTTTTCATGGTTTTGTTTTTTTTTTAAATATTTTATATTGATTTGCCCACAAAGTTTCTATACATTGTCTTTCACACTATCCTTCATTGACATTGTATTTCATACAATCATTTCCATTTGTTATGTTTTATGAAATGAATCCTCATTAAACTATGCCCAATGTTGTCTTTCCAGATCCTTGCTGGATCTTTCCCATTTCTTTTACCTCCACTCACCAAATTGTGTGGCCCTGTGATTTCTCCTCTGCCCATCTTCACCACTCTGCTCCCTTGTCCATTGAATCCTCATAAAAATTTTACTAGTTATCTATTTCTATAATCATGATCTTTCTTATGCAGTATTTATCCTTGTGAGTCTGAGTTAGTTCACTCAGCATAATGCTCTACAGTCTCTCCCAAATTATGTAATTTTCAAAATAGTTTTTCTGTGACTGCTGTGTAGTATTCCACTGTGTAAATATACCACACATTTTCAATCCTTTCAGTTGTGGTTGGACATTTGGACTGTTTTCATGTTCTTGCAACTATGAACATTGGGGTACAAATTTCCACTTGTGTCTCAGTTCTCATTTTCTTGGGGTATATACCTGACAGTGGAATAGCTGGATCATATGAAATTTCTATGTTCAGCTTTTTGAAAAAAAAATGCCAAACTGCCTTTCAGATTGGTTGTACCATTTTACAATTCCACCAACAGCATATGAGAGTTCCTATCTCACCACATCCTCTCCAACATTTATTGTTTGCTGTCCTGTTAAACTTTGTCACTGCTACTGGGATGAGTTGGAAGGAGAAGTGGCATCCACTTCCACAATAGCTTGCCTCCGAAAACCCTATGAACCTGGAGAGAGGATGAAAGGCACCCAAGCATTGAGGACTCTCCTTCATAGGGTCGCTATGAGTTGCCTGCGACTCGACGGCACTTAACAACAACTGGGA